TTTAAGTGCGTGGGGGGCTTCTATTATGCCTCAAAAGTCACGCTTATGTTAGCTCATTTAATGTCTTCTTGTACGAGCTGTCAAGCCCATATCTGCCTCAAAGATATTCTTACCAACCCTGTCTCCTTTCAAGAAATGAATGGACGAGAGCCTTCCATTTGTCAAGGCAACTTGCAAAACACTCATTACATTGAGTGTTTAGGTGTATAAATTGGCACTTCTCTTCCCGAAGAGGGAGGTTGGGCATATGAGAGCTAACCATAAATAAGAGCTCAATTCTTTCTCTATGTAAACACTGTATTTCTTCATCTTTGTATGTCTTATGGGCAATATCATAGAAATAGTTAGAGATCAATAAAATAACAGTGGATGTAGGAGTCGCTTGTTGAGCATCCGAACCACTATAAAAACCCCTCTTGCTAATCTTTTATTTATGTTTTCTGTAACATATATAATCTCAGCTCCATATTCAAATCTCATGGATCCATTCACGTGTGTCTCCTGAGTCAGCTCAGCGTTTCTCACGTGCGAGTCGTTGGCGTCCAAAATCAAGCGTCAACAGTATATGATAGAAATTTAAATGAGAGTGGGGGCCTTGAGGGCTGTGCTTTTATCATAGTTAGTAAATACTAGTATGGCAAAAAAAGAGTATGGGAATTTTACAGGTATAATACGACAATACGTTTATAAAAATTCGACCATAAAATTCAGATACGAAAAAAATACGATACGAGTATATATGAGTTTAATATGGTACATTCTCAATAATACGTTTTAAAAAATATGGCAGTATCAACCTTAGTTTTAACACTTTTATGAATTAATTATTAATGTATCTTTGCATTTACTTCAATTAAATCTTTTGCTTTTGCTTTTGCCCGTGGTAACATTAATCTTTTCTTTGCCTTAACAAATTCCCAAGCCCATGTCTTGTTCTAATCCGCCAGTAGAAAAGATGTTTATTTATTTTTTTGTTTGTGGAATAGAATGTAATCTATAGTGTTGAGTGTTGACACGTACACTGAAATCCACCACAAACACAAAACACCCATGACCCATCTTAAAAACCCCCCTCCCTCTCTCTTCTTCAATCAAATCATCTCTCAGTGTCTCACCCACAAGGCCAACTGCTTCTTTCAGAGCTCCAACAATGATATCTGCTTTACAGGCTATTCTTTCTGCCAATACTTTCCCTGCCTCAAACTTATTCTTCTTCCCCAAACACAAACACAAACCCATTAAAAATCTCAACTAGTTCACCTTTCGAGTTGAGGAAGGGAAAGTATTGGCAGAAAAGCTGAAAACGTCGAAGAACTGAGGAAGAAAAGCTGAAAATTTCATTCGTCGAAGAACTGAGGAAGAAAGAAGAAGAGAAGAAGAGAAGAGATTCTGTTTAATTTTGAATTAAACCCCACTAAAACGACGTTGTTTTGGGGTGAGCAATGGTTTTTTTTTTTTTTNAAAAAAAAAAAAAAAAAAAAATTGACAAAATAGTACAATGATTGAGGGTTGATTTTGAAATAATATATTTAATTAATGATTTTAAATTTAAGAAGTATCATTTTTTGTCACATAAATTTGTAAGAAAAAATTTATTCTTTTGTATTATTCAACCTTTTTACATGAATATCCATGGTTTTCGAAAATATGACCTATGTGTTTCATCCTTTTTTTTTTTTCCTTTCCGTAGTGAGCATGTATTAAGTTATTTTATTTTAGTAGGAGAATTTTACTGTTCATTCATATTGAATCAATCTAACGTTCAAAATTAGTCAATAGTATTGAGAGTTAATATAATTTCTGAAAGTTAAATTGATGATATTGTTGATAAATATGAAGATTGAACCGATGATATTTTCAAAATGAATAGGTGCTCACTAAAAAAGGCTAAACATATGACAGTGAGGGTTAAATCTTTTAAACTAACGGATATTCATTAGAAAAAAGACCAAATACACAGGGATTAGAATCGTATTCTGAAACCAGAAGGTGCTAACAATTGTAAATAACAAATACATAAGGCTTTAATATGAGAAAAAAAAATATATTATACTTATAATTTTTTTTATATAAATTTTTTCTTATACATTAATGTGAGATTGGATAAGAATTTATTTTAAATTTGAAATTATTTAATATTTTTTATTACCTAAATTTGTAAAAAAAATTATATAAAAAAATTCTTGCTATAATATTATTGAAAAAGGTTAAACACACAAAGATTTATTATTAAAAAAAAAAAAAAATGGCTATCAAATTATACGATGGATCGTGGACAATGAAAGATGGAAGACAAGTCAAGGTCTATGAAAGAAATTTAAACTGGTGGGGGCCGCTGTGTTTTGAGAACCACATTTTCGCTCTACGAAAAGATTGGTAGCCACCACATAGTTTTCAATTATTTAATAAAATATAAAATTTGTGACCACGAAAACTTGGTAGGCAGTTTTTTGATAAATTTGTTAAAATGATTGAAGGTCGATTTTGAAATTAAACGTGTAACACATTTGCCCCCACTTTTTGTCTTTTTGACCGTCAGAGTAAATGACAAAAAATATTGCAATTTATTTAAATATTTTTTCTCTTCTCTGACACCTTAAAATTATGACAAATTTTTCTTTTAAACGCAATTAACTCATTTAATATAATATTATATTTGAGTAATGCTATGGAAACCAAATTTTTATATCAAAAGACATGATAATCAGTCAGACATAATTACACCGAAGTCTTTCATGAATAATTATCCAACATTTATGATTGTTTGCCAATATTTATTGGATTTCCGTTCATATTACATGGACGGATGTCTATTTACTTCTAAAAAAATTTAAAAAAAATAATAAACGTTCATCCATCTTATATGGATGAGTGTCTATTTACTATAGACGGATATCCATATAAGATGGACGTTTGTCTAAAAAATTTATATTCAGCGGACAAGCATTCATTGTTTAATTTAAGATGAAATATTTATTTTTTAAGTATAAAATTTTTAGATGAAATAAAAAAAAAATTTTGATTTTAGGTAAAAGTATGGATGTGCGGTTAGACATGGTCAGAGCATTTCATCCAAAAAAAAAATTTGAGAATGGATGCCAGTGCACTCATTTGGATGGAGAGTCTATCCAAATGAGTGGACTGCTACATTCTTAAATTTTTTTTTTTAATTTTCAATTTTTTTATTTATAAACAAAATAAAAAGCAAATGAGAAATGAAACCTGGGAAGCTTAAATTTTTAAACAATTTAATTAAAAATTAAAAAAAAAATTATTAAACTAAAATTTGTTAATGTTAAAAGATGGAAGGATGGGTATACATAAATAATTTAGGCCGATTTTTTTAATTTAAACTATGAACGGACGTCCATTCTAGGTGGACGATCGTCTATATAATATGGACAAGAGTCCATTTCAAATAAACGATCGTCCAATAATAATAAACGGTCGTTCATTCGCGAAATATTTGTTAACATGATACATAGCTTATCTGATTCAGTGGACACGTCGTTTAGTGTAAAAATTCGGTGTAAAGTATCGGTATCTGTAGCATTTTTCTTATATCTTATGTTAAATGTACTTTATTTTATGTCTAAATCAATTACTTCAAAAAAAAAAAAAAAAATTATAATCAACATTTGGGTAAGAGAAAATATGTTCCCATACCACTTTGAAATACAAATGAAATAACTCTTTTCCGTACATCTTTATTACTATATATACGAGAAGGATTTAGTAAACACATTACCAAAGTTCGAGGAACACAGACATACTTAAAGTTCTAAAAGTCTTTGTGGCATTTTATACTATTCTCTATTTTATTATCATATTCTGGCAGTTAGTTCTGTTGTTCTAAACTCATCAGCTCTCTTTTATAATAACCATTTTGGATTCAGAGTGATATTTTGTCCGTAACCTTCAATCCTTTCTGTGGTTGCATCTTCTCAAATATTTCAACGCAGTAGATAACCGATCAATTCAGGTATGACATTTCTCTTTTGGATATTCTTTTTTCACGTTTTACATTTTTCTCTGATATTTTAACATATATTTGTATCATATGCTCTATAAATTATTAGAAAATATAACAAAAAAAAAAAAAAAAAAAATTAAAGCAAGAACTATGCAGTGAAGAGATTAGCAAAACGTCACTCTAAGTCTCTAACCTAAGGTACGTCTGTACAATACACCGTAGAGGAAAATTTTCCATCTGGTTTTGGACACAAGTTATTATCCGTCGTCGACCCTAGAGGTGGACCACCTTAGGCCTGACAGGTTATCTATCAATCGATTGTAAGATGCTCTAATGGCTTGTCTGTTTGCTCTCTCTTTTTTTAATTTTTCTGTATATTGGTTTGTGAAATTCATATTGAAGATCAAGTTCTTTAATTTATATATGCACCAAAATACCCTGTTCAGAATAAGTAGTTTCTCTATTTAATAGTACCGTGTTTTATATAGGCAGCGGAAGATAATATTATTAATAAAAATTGATTAAAGAATTTCATAAGTTTTTTTTGCTAACCTCATGGACTTGCTTTTAACTTTGCTTGTTTTACGTTTCTGGTTATTTTTTTCTTTACAGGAATCCTAGATATTTATAGACTCTTAACCCTATTGACATCAGTTTTCTTAAACCTAATAATACTTACCTTCCTTTTATTCTGTCCCAAGTCTTTTTTTTTTTTTTTTTATTTCATTTTTTTATATATACATTTTAGTCTGTATTCAGGCTCATATAGTATTGACCCTTGTACTATCCAACTTAAATAAATTCTCAAAATCACCGTTACATTAGGCATTTATATAAAAGCAGGGGTGGAGCCAAAGCCACTGGCCGTAGCCCCGGGGGACATTTCTGGAAAAAGAATTTTCAATATTTTCAATCTTATAAATTTAACAAAATGCATAATTTGTTATATACAATAGTCGAATAATTTTCAAGTTAATGCTCTGGATAAATTGTTAACTATCGCATATTATATGTTTTACTAGGGTAAATGGAGATTGATAGAGACAGGCCGAAGTTATCAAATGCTTTCATTGAAGCGCATAAACTCAGAGAGTTGAAAATTGATATAGACGAAAAGTTAGAACCTGACTCTGAGTGTTGTATTTATAGGGTTCCTAAAGAGCTTCGCAAAATAAATAAAGCTGCATATACTCCTCAATTAGTTTCAATAGGTCCTTTCCATCATGGCAACAAGGATTTGGCTGAAATGGAAATACAAAAAGTAAGATATAAAAAAGAGTTTGGTAAACGAATCAGTGAGGAGAGATTGGAGGATTTTATTGCCTTCATTGAAAGGGAGGAGAAACACATTCGTAATTGCTATTCAGACACTTCCCCTCTTAAAAGTCCTGATTTTATAACAATGATTTTGTATGATGCAATCTTCATCATTGAGCTTCTCTTGAGATTTAACGAAGGCAAAGATGATTTTTTGCTAAATAATATAAGATTCGAAATTCGTTTAAAGCGAGACTTGCGATTACTTGAAAATCAACTCCCACGCTTCGTCCTCGAAGAATTATACAAGTCAACTGGAATTAAAGTACGATCCGTCCTTTCTCTTTTTATTTTTTTCTTCTATGATAGTGATGAGTGCACTGACAACCAACACGTTCATTATCATCGAAACGTTAATCATTTCACTGATTTGTGGAGAAGTATGTTGCTGCATATCAACCCTGAAGCCAATGATTCTTCTTCAGTTTTACCTTCGGCAGTCCCTAAAGGCAATGATTCTCTTTGTTCAGATTTTCCTTCAGCAGTCAAACTGAAAGAATCAGGAATGAAGTTTACAGCTCTTAAAGGAAAGTCTTTACTTGATATAGAACTAAAACAGGGAAATTTTAAAATCCCAATTCCATGCTTTAGTGGAGTTGAGTTAAAAATTCCCTGTTTGCATGTAGGTGGCAAAACGGAAGCTGTGATACGGAATGTAATGGCATTTGAACAATGTCATTATCCATCAAAAACCCACGTTTGTAACTACATCGCTTTTATGAAGTTTCTTATCCGCACAGAGAAGGATGTAGATTTGCTTATTGAAGAAGGAATTATTTCAAATTTGATGGGCGACAGTGCTACAATCGTACGGATGTTTAACGGACTTTCCATTAGCGTTGTTGTAAGTCGTTCCCGTTATAGTGGCATTGTCAGGGATCTAAAATCACATTATAGCAATGGCTGGAACCATAAAGGGGCAACCTTGAAAAGAGTTTATTTCGGCAATCCATGGAAAGGCACAGGAACTATTGCTGCAATTGTACTGCTACTGCTAACTTTAATACAAACCATTTGTTCCATTATGCAAGCTGTGTGATTTCAGTAATTGTATTACGAGATAGATCTATTTACAATGTGTATTTTTGTATTTGAATTTTGAATTCTTGTACTATAGTCTTCTTGTATATTTTGAAGTGTAATATGCTCATCATTTCCAGGGTTCAAATAAATCAATTGGGCACTACTTTTATGAATATAGTTAAGTCTTATATATTAACTCCATTGACATTTGACACAATTTTATTTAACTTAGGACTACGTGATCACCATATTTTCAACAATCCGCAGCTAGTTTGTTTGTTTCTGAGATCAATATAAAATCATAACCACAATAAAATTTTAAAGAGTTTTCGTATCTTTGCAGCAGAGGATATTATGTGTGTGCCAGAGTATGTACATCCTTCATCATAATTAATTCTTTGTTCGTCATAATAAATTTTTAAAGAGCTTTAAAATCTCATAGTGAAGGATTATGTGTGGTAAGTACATACTTCGTACATTATTGTTATGATGCAACATAAAGAAATTTAAGCTTTTGACTTGTGGGGTTGGAATGCCATAACAGTTCGCCAGAGAATATAGCAACTGAAACCTCATTACGTCACAGCTCACTTTTCCCGATTGAAACCGATAACCATTAAGCTGGTTTAGAAAAATTATTCTTACTGGAAGTCCCAAGTTCTTTCTCTTGTAAGGGCATTCGATCTAGAACATTTTCTCACCGAATCTAGAGCTTCCCCTCTAGAATTCATTTCAATAACTTCTGGTCAAGGTAATCGTACACACACAAACTCTGTTACTCACTTTAATCTCGATTATGATAGATGGAGTAGAATGGATCAACTTCATGTAAACTGGTTAATTTTGTCTATCTCTGAATTGATGATGCGTCATGTTGTAAAGAGTAATAGTGGACAGGAAATTTGGATTGCTCTTGAGAAACTCATTTTAACTAAAAAAAAATCTCAGGTTATGCATCACCCAGAGTCTACCAACAGATGGAAAGACATATTTTAGCTCAAACAGCACTTGCAAAGCAGCAGGTATCTCAAACGATGATGATATTCTCTATCCCACCGAGTTTCTTAATTCTTCGATGTGCTCCGACATGCCCAAACATGAATTGCATCTGAAAATTGGCATTCCAATTATGTTGTTGTGTAATTTTAATCAATTTGATGGTCTTTGCAATGGAATCAGATTGATCATAACCCATTTAGGAAAGTGGTCCATACAAGCAATGATTATCACCAGGTCAAACATTGGGGATATTGCCACAATTCCCAGAATAATAATGTCTAATACAGATATAAAGAGGCCTTTCAGGTTGAAGAGAAGACAGTTTACCTGTGACAATTAGCTTTTGTATGACAATAAACAAAAGTCAGGGTCAATCACTCAAAACAGTAGGATTGTATATGAAACATCAAATCTTTACACATGGTCAATTGTACATGGCCCTATCAAGAGTAACTTCATCAGGACTAGGTATCAAGATTCTTCTAGCCTTGCAAGAAGATGAAACGGCAGAGACATTGACAAATATTGTTTTCAAAGAAGTCTTTAACTGTAGAGATTAATATGTTCTGTATTATATAATTCATTGTTTATAACAGAAAGGATTGATACATTGTATATAATATAAGACATTATTTGTAAGAGATTGATGTGAAAAATTAAACATATTTATATGAATATGAAAAGGTCACATTAAATGTTTAAATATATACATGAATATAATTTACTTGATACAAAGATATTTATATGTTTTACATTATTATTGTCAGATACGATGAACACTACATTGAATGTATTATGTGTTATAAATACATATTTTTTACACATGCAACTGAACTATAAACCATCGCGTGACAAGCATCATCAAAATATTTAACATTAATATTAAAATTAAACAGTTTAAATATTTACAGAAATAACATTACATAAGCTGGAGATTTTGTTTCACATACACAAAAATTAGCATCAACTGAATACATCCACGTCCATGATAATAACACAATTATAAACACCTGTGAGCCAAATCTTGACAAAATATTGTGAAAATGCTTAACAAACGGTTTAAATATCTACAAAAGTGCCATTAAGTGGACCAAAGAAAGCTACAACAACATTGCAATCAATAAAATCAAAATTAGACGACATCTCCTCATTTTTCAACACAATTGTCTCTAAAAAACTAGAATCTTCATTTGGGAATTTGTGCTTAAATTCTTTGACACAAGCTTTTTTGGTGGCCAAAAACATTTCTAACACCGAATCATAAGCCTCTTCTTTATCTTTCTTAGCTTGTGCAAGTAAAGATTTAATCTTATAATTTTCTTCAGACAATTCATAACTTTTATTTTAAAGACTTCCTTTTGCTGCTGCTCATTTACAAAAGACTCATCAACATTTCTAAATGATTCTTGATAGTGTTTCAATTCGGTTTTGACCTTTTCAAATGCATTCTTTTATATTTTTTACTATTCTTTCAATCTGTGAACCTCGGCAATCATATCTTCATATTGTTTTGTCAAATCTGCAAGCACATCTTCTGAAACAAGCCAACATTCTCTAATTTCTAAGAAACCTTCATAAGCCTATTTCAAAACTAATGAAACCACCTTAACATTATCATGCCATAAGTATATATTCACATGATATAGTGAAAAAAACATTACTTCTTTCCCTAGATCGAACGTTTTGTTGTCTAGATCTTCTTTACAAAGATTTTTCCATTTTCATTTAGAATTCGTATTTGAACCCTATTGCTGACAAGTTCTCTGCTATTTCACCAATTGACGTAATGGAATTTCTTCTGACTGATTATCTTCTTCTTTAGTCAATTTAACATAGTAGGAACCGGAATCAGGTTTCACAGGATTGGAGATTGATGGAGGTAAAATAGAAGTCTGTACAAGCGTTAACAATTTTGACTTGGAATCACTGCTTGATCCTACTTTATACAGTACTTCAAAATCAAGTCTTCGAATAAATTTCATCAAGTTTTTTGGAGTCATTACTACAATAAAAACAAACGACAATATTACAATATATAATAAACACAACAAGATAATATACCACTGGCATTTCATAACATGGATTCATAAAACAATGACAGTATTACAATATATACTAAACACAACAAGATAATAAACAAAATCGTAATGAGAAAAACACCAACTTTAACAGTAGATTCATTAACAAGATAATCTACAATATGACTACCAGAACAACAGATAAACAACCCGAGTAGAACAAACAAAATCATAATAAAAAACACACCAATGTTAGCAGTAAAAAGACCGACAAAATAATCTGCAACACAACTGCCAAAGAAAGAAATAAACAACGCGAATACAGTAAATTATCAGCACAACCATCTAAGAACAACTTCTTATAAAAATAATAACAAATCTCGGAACTACATAAGAATAACATGCACTTTAATCAAAATACATTTTAATCAAAGTTAAAAACGAAAACAAATTAATTAGACCAATGTAAAATAAAAAATAACATTGTCACTATAACTAAAGAAAATGTACTTACTTATATCAATTTCAGTCAACGATAAAAGACAGATGTGGAAAATGCGACAAACAAACTGTGACAAATGCTCTGAATGCCGAAACTGACAAAGAAAACCCTAAATCCAAAAATTTACTTAAAGTAATTAAATACCAACAGTATTTTAAACGACAACATTTTTCATTACTTATGAATTTTACAAAACCAAAACGACAGTGCACTGTAAAACTTTAATATTACCATTTCAGCTGGGCAATATCAGTGCCACTTAATATAAAACTATAAAGGAAGGAAAATAAAATATTCCTTCAAAATCTTACTATCAAATACTTAATCTCACAATACAAATGAATTCGACATTAATGTTTACAAAACCAATAGAATTTCAAATTCAATAAAATAAGCAATGACAATTCCCTACATAAAATAACATGAATTGGAAACAATATTTCCAATTCAAGGTGAAAAAAATGTAAATATATAAATATAATAAATTAAGAATAGAGAAATCCTTCATAATTTAATTCTAATAATGTAAATGACAGATAAATCACTTCATTGTGTATTAATCAACAACAGAAGATCAACTTGAAGCAATCGGAAGTGAAATTTGACCATATGTACAAAATCATGCAAACAGATAGTGCTTTTCCAATGGGAGAAGATCATCACGCAAGTATTACAATGTCGACAAGCTAAGACAAAAGCGTTAGGAGGATGACAACCTAAAACCCAATGGACCGATTCTGTATATGCCTATTCAAGAACCTATTATGTAGATATTATATACAAGCAAAACATGTAAAGAAGAGGTACATAGGCTGTAGTTTGTGACCACTAAATTTCAGTCTCTACACTATTCTAATCAAATAGCAAGAGACTTCATCTTATCCATTTTCCACAGGCCTTCCCCATACTTGTACCACCTCAGAAAGCCTTCATCACATCAGGTACGTTGGCACATGATGCACGAGGACTCAGTACATGTTAAGAACTCATGTAATGGAGCAGCCTTCTGCAAGATAATTTTATCTAACTTCCTAATAATTTTTTCGAGCATCGGTGGAGGAAGTAATGGACCATCTATAAGAAGACAATGTGATATGTTGAGGACTTCTAGGTTTGGTACATCATCCAGTATAAGCAATAGGGCATCCTTAACTATCATTGAACATCTCAAGCTCAAAACCTTCAAATTTGGAAGAAATCTGGCTATCATAGAAGCAAAAAGAACGTCAAAAAGACCTATGATCTTGAGTTCACTGAAGTTCTTCCAATTTAGGACTATTTCCTCTATAAGATAAGGGGGATTTGCTATACTAGGCATTGTCAGAGATTCAAGACATCTCCATGTACAAATGGCCTTGCAGATTACGTCCTTTTTTATTATGTTCCTAGCTGGCATAACAAGGCACCTCAGTCGCGGGCATCTATAGACAACAATATATGGTATATTACTTCCCAGTTCACTGTGCAACAAACAAAAAAAATTAAAGATGATGATCA